CACAACACTAGCAGAAGCCTTTAAATGCTACGCTCTCTAAGAAGTGCCTGCAATGACTAAGTCTGCTGTGCAAAGAAAGGAGGGAGACAAAACAACAGCTCTGCATTTTCATTTCATCCTCCTAGGGTGGTTACTAGGAATAAGTCATATTAGTTGCACGTATGCTAAATCCTGCACAGAACAAGATAGCTCTTACTGCTTTTCCAAGGTGTAAAAATACATATGCAGGCCTGTCCATTTCAGTCTGTAAAAATTCTATTTATCACACATGATAAGTGTTAGTTTAACTAAGACACTTTGTGTATGGGTCTTAAATATATCTTTATATATTAAAAAATATAATAAAGGATAAAATTGGTTCATAGGAATTCATAAAAGAACAGAAATATGGTCCCAAGAATAAGAGACAAGTACACCAGAGCCAAAAGCCCACTTTGCAAAAAGGTGACTGGAGAGAGATCTAAATTACAGACCCTTCTCATCCACAGGAAACCTAAAGCAAACCTCCACATATTCTGACTGCTCTAATCATTGGTTATAGGTTAGACTGGGAGATTAAACCACCTGAATACAGGCCAATATGTAGGCAAAAACACAGTGTTTATCAGATCAGAAGAAAGGAGTATGACTGCAACCGAGTGGTGAGGACTCTTGCTGAGCGTGAGGGAACTTGAGTTGCAGCTGTACAGAAAATCTCTACCTGGTGTAAAACAGACAGGACGAGCTATGCTGACTCCTGCAGCTGCACTGTCAGCTGAGTTCTCTTCTATTTTAACTGCACTGTTCTGCAGAGAGAACATAGCAAGAGATGTGAGATTATTCATGACCATATTCAACCTAAGGGATATTGTGTCAAGGGCTTGTTGTAACAGTAGGTAAGGCAGAACTGAAGAGCCACAGTGAACTCTAGAAATCCAGCCTCTCAAAATTTACCTAGCTCTACCTACATAAAGCAACTAAGGACAAAATCCAGAAAAAAATCTAAGTCATGTTGCTGAAAAGATCATGTCTATTTAAGTCAAAGATTTTCTTAAAAACAAAATGGCTCTTACCAGTACGCATGCAGTATTAAGACTCTCTGAATTACACTACAGAACATCGTAAGACACAATTTCTAACAATTCAATTAGTAATTACCAATATTAAAATTATACAGCTAGCGATATTCAGCTCTTAAATTAGAAATTAAGTTCTCTTCTGGAAAAAAGAAAAGCTGTAAACATAATCAATATTTGCAAGGTTACTGAAAAAAGTCCATTTCTTTTTAGTGCTGTTTTAGGTTTACCCAAACATTAGCAATGCAGTAGGTTACAGAAGAGATCTCTGCATCACTGCAAAATGCTGCACTGTGCTGCAGCAAATTTCTGCTACAGCAAAGTGTGTTGCTGCAGCAATACAAACTATCATTCCTATACATGAAAAATAAATAATATTCATAGAAAGTCTATATAAAATCTACATTTCTATTATCTAAGTATTCCATCTTGTGTAGTGAAACAGTGTCATAAAATTATATCAGATTTCTTGTAATAGAATTACATTAGTTTAACTTCATGGTTAATAGAATAGACCATAATGTTACCTGTTTTAATACTTATTTAAAAAGATTTTGAACTGATAAAAGATTGCTAATTACAATTTACTTAAAATCAATGTATATCTGAATGATTATTTTAAATCTCTGAGCCTAAACATATGACTAAAGTCAAAATTGCTGTCAGTTGGTTTAAACAAGTAACTTTGAAGTATGTATGTTTCAAAAAAACCTACTTCCCCTAATCCTGAGTTCAGTGGTGTGGATGATACAATTCTGTGCATCTCGGCATAAGGAAGAAGATGTTAGTAAAAATACAGACTGAGAAATGATAACGGCTAGTAGATGAGAAACTATATGGGATAGTAGACACAAATTATAAGAGAATATACCATATACTTTGCACAGAATCAGTGAAGTAGTGGACACGGTATTAAATTTCACCTTTCTGGTGCTAGTGTCATGGCAACTGAGCTGGTAGCAACTTATTTCTCGCTACCTTATTCATTCAGCTTTTCTCTGCTTTAGCTTGGTAATGGATTTATGAGAAACACTTCTGTTAGAAGGCAATCATTCAATTTCAGATTGTGAACCACCTATGGATCTAAGACAGCTGCCAATCTGTCAGAAATGGAATGGGAGTAGGATTCATAGTTAGTTAGAAGCACAGTTTAAGAAAAATCTCCTATTTCTGTTACTTAAATTGCATAAGACTTAAAGAAGTACCACAAACTATTATTGGAAGGATGAGGAAATCTCTCATATGACAAAGAAGCATCTCACAGAATTGTAGCTACAGCAGTCTCATATTTTCAAGATTATAATCCATAGTTTATAGATTATAATCAATGCTATGACAGACCAGTTCAGTAGAGTGCGAGTCTGCATGTAAATGCATTCACGACCTATTTCCCTTCACACAGGAACTCTGAATCTATTCTGATTTCGTGGAGGTTAACTAAGGACTTACTTTCAAATACTAGCATTTTTAACAACCGCAGCTTTTAACAAGTTATATAAGCATAGCTGAAATAAATAAAATAATCAGCAGTCTACAGTGTTTCTGACAGAAACAAAAGCGTTTAAAGTTGCTGTTTATGTAAAAGATTTTAAGACAAAAACAAACAGAGCTACACTGAGCCGGTGCATTTTTTGGCTTTGTAATAGAGGAGTTCTTGAGCTCAGCGTATTATGCACCCTTATCCTATTGATTTGTCTTTATATAGTGTTATAGTTTCATGTGCTAATAATAAAACAAATAACTTGACAATACAGCTATGGATTTAAGTGAACAGATATATTTAAACAAATTTACGAGTACTATATTTGACATTCAACAAATGCAATACTCAAAGACATATTTTTTTTTTTTTTAAACAGATCAAAGGTCTTATACCAATAAGAAATTTCTGCATGGAGCCTTTTTAGGTGAGTGTGAGCAAACAATTAGATACTTCTTTAAAAAATGTAATTCTAAGTCTTGAAATTATAGGCAATTCCAATTATAGGGAACTTCCAACTGATTTTGCCAAGAAAGGTTGGACCAGATGATCCTTGAGGTCCCTTCCATCCTGGTATTCTATGATTCTATGATTTAACCTGTGTTTTTTCCCTATAACTTGTCGTTATATAAGATAGCATGCTAGGACTGTGCAGAAAATTAAAGCAAACCTTGATATACAGACCAATTCGCTTCACAACTCTGACATAAGACTCTCAGTTCAATCAACTTTCGTGTTATCTGACACAATTAACTTACCAGTCAAATAAACTATGCCAATCACTAGTTAAATATTTGTACTGTTTAACTGTGCTTATACAGTAATCATGTGCTCTCATCCAGACTTAAGTACAAAACAATGAAAAAAAAAAAAGAATAAAGAATTTAAGCTTTGCCTCAAAGTCCTAAACTTGCTCCATATTTGACCTAAAAGGTATTAGAATGCCCAGCAAACCTGAATAAACAAAAGGTGGACCTTCACCTGCCTATAAGCATTACCAAATTTCAACTCAGGCTGAGGTACAGCCCCTTCTTAGTTGAACTCCTACCTAGACTCTAGGCCTTAGTGGCTCAATTCAGTTGTTACACATAATGCCATTTGAGACTTTGTATGTTATCCAAGAAAATGTTATGGATAGGCAGATATGATACAGGACCTCCAGATCCATGCCCTACTGGGTCAGGGTACACAAGCAGTGGGAATCAGTTGCTTAACACTGGCTTCTAGTGCCATTTTGCCCCTGACTTCCAGTTGCTGGCCCAACAAGAAAATGTATTCACTTGGATCCTGTGTCATATTTGGCAGCTCCTAGTAGATGTCTTAAATACAATAGGGCATCTCCAGATGATACTAATTTTTAGGCAACTGAATTGACACCTAAGGGAAGTGATAAAATATTAGCAATGAAAAGCTTTGTCCATCAAACCAAACAACGTATTGATGATGAAGACATCCAGAGTTCAAATCACCCCATCTTTTCCCTTCTTAGACTGACAAAATAGAAGTTATGAGGAGAACAAGAGAGACACTCAGTATTTTCTGGCTCCACAAAGGATGAGAAGAACAGCTGCCCCAGCTGTGCCATTAATAGTACCCAGCATAATGGGTGACCCAGGTCACTCACCCAAGCTGAGGCTTCTACATACAACTCTAAAACAAATAGGTGAAAAATCTTTGATCATTGCCTATTATTCCAGCACTAAGATAACTGCATTCTCACATATTAAACATATATTCAAATCTGGACTAGACTGCAATTAAATCATAGCTGAGAACTCTTCACTATGATATAGCCATCTGCCATATCTGACAATAATGCAATAATGGAAACATTTAAAATTAGTGATTTTTTAAACTAAGAACTACAAAAATCCTGAAACTTACTTTTAATTATGTTGAGAATTTCATTATGACATGCCTAAGTAGTTGTATGCTGTTCTCCAGTAAGAATAACTTTTTTTTTCAAAATTTCACATTTCTAATAGTAAAGATAGAATTCTGACTACTGGGAGAATTCTTCAGAATTTCTTTTTCAGAAAAAGCATAAAAGGCTACCCATATTCTGTCAAACTATTGTATTAGAATTTGGTGACCAAAACTAAAACCTTAACTTGCAGTGAACAGCAGCTCTAAGAACTATCCCATTGACAGGAGTTAGATTAACAGTATAAATAGAACTAGTGAAACTACTTACATAATGGATACTCTTCAACATAAACTGAATTATATTATTGTAAACTTTCTCAATAATTCTTTGTTTATTTAAGTCCTAAACGAATATCTTTATAACTAAAGATAATTGTTATATTAAAATATTCTACACATAAAAGTCAACATATTCCAAAAATCCCTCCATTTACTCTGACTTTCTTACGGAAAATCATATTTATGAACCGGTGATTGGGTTCTCTAGCTTATACTGGATGCAGAAAAGATTCAGAGGTCAATGAAATATGTAACTTTACCTGGGAACTGATCATACGTTGTGATGAACGAGCAATATTAGCAGGCAGGCCAAAAAAGTCAGGTTTGTCATCTTCTGGAAGGCTTTCAATAATACTACGATAATCCTGCATTAGAAGAAAAGAATAAACATAACTGAGGGAACTTTTTGTTCAGCTCATGAAATTAACAGTGTATGCTCAAAAGAGTTTCAATAAGTGCACTGCATAACACAAAGATTAAAATAAGTATGTAACATATGATATATCTTGGTAATCTTATTTATAAATGTCTTAATTTTATTTATAAAAAACTATAATCTTTTATATAGTGTTTCCACTCTAAAAGAGCAAAAAGCAACTCTGATTACAGTGATGCTATCAATTGAAAAGAAAAATATGCTAAGACTGTCTCTGTAAAGTAGTTACAATACTTCTGTTGAAAACTTAAAAGTTAGATTAATGACTATAGAAAAGAAAAAAGATTTCAGCATTTGGAATTCGAATAATAGAGTATAATATGTATTTATAAAATGAAGAGCACTCACTTCTATTTTAATCTATGAAGATATTATCATTCAAAGAAAGTGAAATTGTTTAGGTAAAAATAGGTTTGCATGATCATTGGAGATGCAGAATAGCATCAATAGTGGTTACAGTCTAACAGTCACTAGTGATGCTGCTCTTGTACAAAACAGAAAGAGGCCTTGCAGACTAAGGTAGACTAATGGTGCTGGATGTCTCTTTTATTGTGGCTTTAAAGCCAAAAATATTTACTATTTGAAAGTCTGGCTGCACCTTATTATGTTATATCATGTGTATTTTGTCCTCTGCTTGCAGGAGCATGTCCTAGGTGTACACGATTTACTTTGACACGGAATCTCACTTCAGCGATAACAACAGTAGCAGACCTCTACACCAAACACTGAAGGAACACTATTTAGTAAGAGATATTATTCCAATTAACTTAAGTAATCAAACTTAGCTTTATTAATAGTGTTCTACTAATCAAAACTACTTGCAGAAAAATATTTAAGACATAAAAGTATAAACTCTCACATAAATAATCATATAAGAAATTCAGAGATACTAAATTCAGCGCAGGCGAGAAGAAAGGTTCATCTATTTCACCATATTATCTACAAGAATAGAGATCAGCCTGGTTTGTTTATTCCTTCCCTCTTTGTGGTATTAACTCAGCACATCTATAGAAAATAACCATCATATTTAAAGTAAAAAAAAAACAAATCCCAAACCTAAACAGTCAGAATCCAGGCAGAGAATGCCAAACGACAGCAATTTATTTTAACTGGCATAATTCCATTTACATCAACTTATATTAGAGGTCTAGTATGGAGTCCTACATTAAAATGCAAATGAATCTTAACAATAGTAACAACAACAATAGTACGTGAAAGGATAGGGAGAGATCAGTTCTTTAGACTCTGTTGAATTCCCTCTTGTTTACACTAAAGGAATACTAAAAGAGAATCAGAATCCATATTTATCTCCAAATAAAATGTCATATACCCTCCATGGCATGTTAGCAGATTATGTCAGAATGTTGATATATTTTGTAAATAAGGAGATATATTTAGATTTTCCTATTTCATCCAGAAGTTATAGGAATGTTTAGCAGTCTGTACAAAAGTGCTATTATGTTAATATACTAAGTTATATAAAAAGTCAATGATATCTTTCTTTGTCCTAAATTGACCCAATTTCTTTTACTCAGTTCTTCATAGCTATGCTGCTCTGCACCATAGTCCAATGAGATATAAAAAAGGAGACTGACCAAACAGACTAGCAGAATAGTTCTGACAACTTAAGAATTAGTGCTCCACACAAAAGAAGTCTTAAATAAATGGAGGTATCCTTTGGATTGTAACTCTGGTTTTCTTTGTGGAATTATTTCCAAAAATAATTCTTGAAAATAACTTTGTTTCTATATTAGATGATAGAAGATGTATACCTACCAAAATACTGCAGGAATTCGGTAAAGAGATTGAATACGGGAAACTAGTCATCTTCTTGCCTCTAGCATTTAAACTGCCAATGACTTGTAGATTGAAAAGCTGCTCCAAGTAGGACCGAAGAACCCTCATATCGAAGTAATTATCTACACGGCCTCCATAAATTGCATTTTCAAACAAGCCATGCACAAATTCCCACTGAAAATCTTTGGAACCTATAAATTAATTAATATTAGTTTTGTATCAATGGATAGCATTGCATTATAAGCATTTCTTCTTGTCATTGCAGTTCTTCAGTGAAATAAAAAAATACAAACACATCATATGTTGTTTTTCTTCTATATTACCGAATAATAAAAGTTGCAGAAACTTCAATGAGTTTGTAAATATTTGTCATTGATAAAACAAACACTTACTGTGTTTCAAAGTGATTTATTAGAAATATTACTTAAGTCTTGAAGTGTTTTTTATTGTAGAAAAACTGATTGGTTATATGCATGTCAGAAATTATGCTATTAAAATTTTAATTATGTGCTCCTTTGTGATAAATCAAAAGAATTTCCCTTGTTCAAAATTTTGTACACTATTTTGTATCACAGTACCATCTGATCTCATAAAATAAACTGATTGATTGAACCAAAACCAGATCATGCTCAAAATAGATAACATTACTGGAAATGTCATCTTTCAAACACAAAGAGGTCCAGGATAGGTACTTTGTAAATCATTATAAATCACGTAACATAGCACATAAAACTAAGCATGTTACTATTAGTTTCCTGGCCAGACTGATGTTGCAATTAGATTACTCTGGCTTAAGTATATCCCACAAGCTCAAAATAACTTATTTTCCCTCCCTTCTATCACAGCTGTCCAAAACACCTACATGGGACAACGATCTACTTACACCCTATAGCTTTCATGTGCAGGTAAGAGCTTGATCAGAAAGGTACTTCTTAAAGTCACTTGAAAAAAGGAATCAGCAATTACTTTAAGGGGGGTTTTATTGGTGGTAACTGTTGTTTCCAAATACTTCAATCATTCCTTAGTTAGAAAAGTTATCTTCACAGCAATAGTTAATGATTAGATTAATGATTATCACTGATAGTTAATGACTCAACCTCTTCACATCACTGTATGTTTCAAGTCTGTATAAATAAGGTCCAGTTCCAGAAGTACTAATCATCCATAAATCTCATTTAAGTCAACGATCATAAATTATCTCTAAATATCAGTTCGTAACTTTACTTTGAAAATATATAAAATGCAAAGACTTTAAAAAAAGATACCTTTGTCATATTAACTAATATTAAGAAATTACTACGCTACTTAACAGAACAATGAAGTGGGCTCTAATAGTGAGTTTCAATATGAAGAATTCATTCATATTCAATTCATATTCAATTAATTTATTCAATATATGGGGGGAGTTCACAGTGGGAAGGAATTGAGACAGAAGACTTCATCTTCCAGGCATTCCTGTATTTCCTTTTTATTCCTCTGAACTCAAGAAGCTGAGCAGAATAGTTCTTGGCAGAAAGAAATTATCCTTTTACTCAACCTCCCAAAAATGGAATTATGATTCACCCTGTGTTTCTAGCTTTGCTTACTGGTGATGAGCCTTGCAGCATCTCCACTCTTATCTGAGTGTTGTAGAAAGATAAAGCTCTTCATGCAACATCTCTACTAATGGTAAAATGGGACAGGTCCTGCTTGAACCCAAGGTCAGATGGCACAAGGCGGCCTGCATCCATACAGCTAAACTCTCCTTTGCCCCAAAATAAGGTAACCTCTTACCTGCTGCCTATTGGAAAGAGTCTCCAGGCTCTGCTATCTCACAAACCATGCCTTGTCACTGCCTACGAGAATGCCAGTCTGCATAAGCCAAATTTGGGAAAAAATAAACCTGATCATGGAATAGTTTTGAGCCTGTGTCCAGCCCTTATCAGTTTACTAATACAGTCATATGCTCAGAGTCTGGATCTACATCCAAAAAAAGTCTGATAAAGCTTAAGCACAGCTGATTCAGGGTCAGACTACTTCCCATACTGATATAGTTACCTAACTACCTGGTTGTGTGTTTATATTTGTGAAAATGTTCCAATGAAGATTCAAATGCAAAATTTAAATACCTTCAAAGCAACCTTTAAACAGAATGGCCCCACTCCAAACAAAACAATCATGCAAAGTAACCAAATTATAAAAATTACTGTGAAAGTTTTTAATATTCTAAAAATTTTAAATGAGAGACATTCAGAAGGGTTATGCTGCAGAGGTGAGAAATCTTTCCTTAAGAAGTGACTTACCCTCAAAAAGTCTATCAATAATGTCAAAACCAGCACGGAGATCAGATAAAGAAAATTCATAAAACTTGGTCCAACCCTACCATTAAAAGAAATCCAAAGAATTTAATTAGTCACACAATGATGATCATGAAGTAAAATACAAATATTAGGTGGTTAATGAATACTGTATAATACTTAATATTGAATGAAAAAAGAGACAACCTATGTCCTCGGAAGTGCATCTCTGGAAACATTCAGCGGTATAAAAAAAAATCAGCTCTACCAGTGCATTTATTTTTACATACTTACAAAAAACTAGAATACATTGAGTAAGAGGAATGTAAACTTACGATTCTTTTGTTTCCTAACAGTATTTACTTCAGCTAAAACTTGCTGACATCTGTGACTAGATCACACATTGAATTATGATTTTATTTCTGAGGGCTTTTTTGCATTTCAGTTTCCTTTGGATTTTAATAAATAGGTCTGATTCTTCAAACACAGTCTGCATTATACTTTCATCATCTTACTCCTTAATTTATGTCACTTCTCTACTGACAGAAAAAAATCTAATGAGTAAAGCAATTACTTCTACTATTACAGCAAAACTGCTGACCGCCATATGCATATTTTAATCATTCTCAGTTTGTACCTTCTTTCAAAAGATACCTTTGTCATATTAACTAATATTAAGAAATTACTACGCTACTTAACAGAACAATGAAGTGGGCTCTAATAGTGAGTTTCAATATGAAGAATTCATTCATATTCAATTCATATTCAATTAATTTATTCAATATATGGGGGGAGTTCACAGTGGGAAGGAATTGAGACAGAAGACTTCATCTTCCAGGCATTCCTGTATTTCCTTTTTATTCCTCTGAACTCAAGAAGCTGAGCAGAATAGTTCTTGGCAGAAAGAAATTATCCTTTTACTCAACCTCCCAAAAATGGAATTATGATTCACCCTGTGTTTCTAGCTTTGCTTACTGGTGATGAGCCTTGCAGCATCTCCACTCTTATCTGAGTGTTGTAGAAAGATAAAGCTCTTCATGCAACATCTCTACTAATGGTAAAATGGGACAGGTCCTGCTTGAACCCAAGGTCAGATGGCACAAGGCGGCCTGCATCCATACAGCTAAACTCTCCTTTGCCCCAAAATAAGGTAACCTCTTACCTGCTGCCTATTGGAAAGAGTCTCCAGGCTCTGCTATCTCACAAACCATGCCTTGTCACTGCCTACGAGAATGCCAGTCTGCATAAGCCAAATTTGGGAAAAAATAAACCTGATCATGGAATAGTTTTGAGCCTGTGTCCAGCCCTTATCAGTTTACTAATACAGTCATATGCTCAGAGTCTGGATCTACATCCAAAAAAAGTCTGATAAAGCTTAAGCACAGCTGATTCAGGGTCAGACTACTTCCCATACTGATATAGTTACCTAACTACCTGGTTGTGTGTTTATATTTGTGAAAATGTTCCAATGAAGATTCAAATGCAAAATTTAAATACCTTCAAAGCAACCTTTAAACAGAATGGCCCCACTCCAAACAAAACAATCATGCAAAGTAACCAAATTATAAAAATTACTGTGAAAGTTTTTAATATTCTAAAAATTTTAAATGAGAGACATTCAGAAGGGTTATGCTGCAGAGGTGAGAAATCTTTCCTTAAGAAGTGACTTACCCTCAAAAAGTCTATCAATAATGTCAAAACCAGCACGGAGATCAGATAAAGAAAATTCATAAAACTTGGTCCAACCCTACCATTAAAAGAAATCCAAAGAATTTAATTAGTCACACAATGATGATCATGAAGTAAAATACAAATATTAGGTGGTTAATGAATACTGTATAATACTTAATATTGAATGAAAAAAGAGACAACCTATGTCCTCGGAAGTGCATCTCTGGAAACATTCAGCGGTATAAAAAAAAATCAGCTCTACCAGTGCATTTATTTTTACATACTTACAAAAAACTAGAATACATGGAGTAAGAGGAATGTATACTTACGATTCATTCTTTTGTTTCCTAACAGTATTTACTTCAGCTAAAACTTGCTGACATCTGTGACTAGATCACACATTGAATTATGATTTTATTTCTGAGGGCTTTTTTGCATTTCAGTTTCCTTTGGATTTTAATAAATAGGTCTGATTCTTCAAACACAGTCTGCATTATACTTTCATCATCTTACTCCTTAATTTATGTCACTTCTCTACTGACAGAAAAAAATCTAATGAGTAAAGCAATTACTTCTACTATTACAGCAAAACTGCTGACCGCCATATGCATATTTTAATCATTCTCAGTTTGTACCTTCTTTCTGTTCTTGGTGGCATTATTCTTTATATAGCATTAATGTGTAATGTGTATGTAATTCTCACAAAAACCTTTCAATGTAAATGGGTAAGTATAAATAAATATTGTTATATGATACAGAACTCAGGAAATCCAGATCTCAAAGGTATCTCCTGTTGCTGTATCTTCTTATGGTTGTACCTTTGCATATGGATGGTATCATAGGAACAGGAGCATAGGACTCATGATGAGAAACATGCAAACGTGTCAGATAACATGCACATATCCAGTGAGATGGATACAGTCTCAGGTCAAGACTGCAGCTGCTCCACAGATCACAATCAAGCTATCAGCCAGTCATCCTGAAGGTCATAAACTGGAAAGATGCTACAGTCTCTCAACAGTGTTCACGTATTATTTTTTTGACAGATCTGTACATGGACCCAAAACAACCTGAAATTCATTATAAAATACAAGAGCATCTAGCTGGGATTGCAGTCCAGCAATAATAGAATAGAATAGAATAGAATAGAATAGAAT